GTTCCAGGTATATTACATTTCTCAGGGGCTGCTATAGTAAGAATTATTGAATTCTGGTGGAGCCACACTGCGTTTTTAAGTTGGTATCTAGGCATTGGGGATTAGGAAGATTGTAATAATAGGTGCTATTATCTGGTCTTGTCCTTTTTGGGTGAGTGTCCATTCCTTGGTTTCTGTTGCCATCGCTGGATCTTAGGAAAGTGTGATGGCTGTGCATTGCTTGATAGTGTTTGCTCAGGCACTCTGCCACAGTGTGCTGGGCTAGGAGAAAAGACTGAGAGCACCTTCAGGAAAGAACCAAGGGGATACTATTCACACTTAGAGATAGCATTCACAGGGAGTTGGGAGGTGTGGTGGGAAGAGGGGACCTATCAAATAGGTTGCGGTAAGGCAAAGAATGATTTAGAAAGGCAGGCATGAATGGGCTAGATTGACCCTAGGCTTGAACCAAGAGTTGGAGTCACCAGTGGCTGGAGTTGAGGTAGGAGGAGGAGTACTCTCCACAGGTTGTTTCCGGGCTGAGGCTGAGAATGAAGAGATCGCAATAGAGGAACTACACTGTGATTCAACTTATTGAATTCCTGCCATGTGTGGCCAGTGCAGTTTCCCAGTAGAAAGTGTTTTTAGGTATTGGGGACTAACATATAGGAAAGGGGTGATGAAAGGGTCTCCAGGAAGGAGGCAAACTGGGTCTGCTGCACGGTTTGGTGGAGTCCCTAGGGAACTGAAACAGAGTGGGAGGATCGGCCCCGGCAAATGTCTGCTACAGGGCAGAGGATGGAACCAGAAGAATTACAGTGGAGAACAGGAAGGAGGGCAAGATGATCCAGCTGCTTTCCAGATCAGTATGGACACTGGGCAACCAAATAGAAAGGGTCTCTAGGTATCAGCAGTTGACACAAAGGAGCAGTAGAGGGTTTGATAGGGTAGGGGTTTAGGGGTTCACGGAAAGTAGGCTTGGTGGTGGAGTCTACGGGGAGTAAAAGTAAGGTGGGAGGACCATCTCCTGTAAGCATTCTGCCCCAGGGCTGTGGGTGAGTCTGAGGAATTGCAATGTAGGACAGGAAGGAGAGTGAAGATGGTCTACCTGCTTCCCGGGCCAGCATGGCACTGGGTTCCCAGGTGGAAAGTCTGGGGTGGGGGTCTAATGCCCTAACACAGACAAGGGTCAGACCAAGACTTTTCACTGGCTGTCAAAATGTGGGGAAGGGTTAGTTTATACGGTCCTCCCTGGGGAAAAAAAGTGGTAGTTTCTAAGCTTTGCTGTCAGAATTATCCTCTAGAAAGTATGGATGAAAACAAAAACTGTATATCAACATCCAAGGTGTGGTCAGTGTTGACATGGTACAGTCATCCCTGGAGGTGCTTCAGAAAGGGGGCATGGGAGGATTACTTGACTGGTGTTGAAGAGAGCCACGGAAACACAGGTGTGGCTCTTAGCAGAACTTGGCGGGGTGGCAGCATGGCAAAGATGATAAACCTGCCAAGTGCGAGCTTCTCTCCAGAGCTGCTCTTCTTGTCCTTTTCTACCCCGTCCCCACAGCCGGCCACGTTATTGCGATTGCATTTTATGTCCTCATTGGCACCATGCAAGTTCCGGTAGCCATCACCTTTTACTTCATGGACAGTGGCAGTCTCGCCCTACTAGAATCTTCAGTCTGGTGTTCCCTCAGGTCATTTAGATATTTTGCACAAACCCATGACAGAGCTGTTATTTCAGTTTGGCACTTCCTCTTCTGAAATTACTACCACATGGGCTTCACCTCTTGTTTCCAGATCATTTCCCCAGAGTAACAGCCTTTGTTACCAAGATCTACTCTGCCCCAGTGTCAGTTCTGCCACTAAACAGCTGTTCTGTGACTATGTTATTGCACCAAATCAGTGGGTGTGTAAGTGGGCGAACTGGATAAATGCATGGGCAGGTGGATCAGGGATCAGACATGGATGCCTGAATCCCCCAAGCTCCAGAGGGAGGAGGGATGTCAGTGAGGACATTGACACATGAAATAAATCGATTGGCATGGAGTGGGGAATCTTAAAGAAAAAGTAGCATTCTTCCAACTCCCGATTTTAGCTTACTTCTCTCTAGAGGCACCACTTTTATTTATTGTGATGAGGTCTTACAATATACCCAGGGTGGCAGTCCTCCTGCCTCAGCCTCCTAAGTGCTGGAATTCCAGGTGTAACCAACATGCTTGTTGGTTTTGTTTTTCAATCTTTTGTAAAGCATTTCTGGGAATTCCTTTGATTAAGCAAACAACAGACCTTCAGATGGGGCTTTTATGTCAGGGTAAGCATAATGTGGGATAGAGAAAGACAAACAGGAACTTCTCAAAAGATTTATTTTTATTTTAAATTATGTGTCTTATGGGGGTATCTGCACATAAGTATAGGTGTCTACAGAGGCCAAGGGACATTGGATTCCCTGGAGTGATGGGGGCGGGGGGAGAGGATTGAGATTTCTATATGGGTGCTGGTACCAAACTCAAGTCCTCTACAAGAGTAGTACTCAGTTTAACCACGGAGGCTTCTCTCCAACCCCAGGTTTTGATTTCTAACATTCTTTATTTAAAAGCTCATGCTTGTCAGAGATATGGTTCAGCTGTGAAGAGTGCGTGGTCCTCTTGCAGAGGACCTGGATTAGATTCCCAGCACCCACATGGCATCTCACAACTGTCTGTTACACCAGTTCCTGAGAACCTGGCAACCTCTTCTGGCCTCCATGGATACTGCATGCACATGGTACACAGATATACAGGGAGGCAAAACACCCATTCATAAAATGAAACAAAGGAAGCAAATAAAAGAAAAGAAAATACACCAAAGCCTAGCTCTGCCTGGTCTGGACTGTATGGCATTGAACCAAAAATCTTTAGGACAACCAAATTTTATTCATAAAATGAAGCGGTTTAGTCTCAATTTCTTCCTATTTTAAGGATCTAGTTTTGGCTTTTAATTCACTTTTCCTTCCCCAGGAGTGCTTTGAAGAGGACCCAGGACGTAAGTGGATGGATGGCTTGCTCAGTAGCCCAGGGATGGAGGCTGGATCCCACATAGGGCTTTTCATGGATAGCTACCGCTGGTTCCATCCAAAACAGGAGAGGGCCTTCACCTGCTGGTCAGTGGTCAGTGGTGCACGCCATCTCAACTATGGCTCTCGACTTGACTATGTATTAGGAGACAGGAGCTTGGTCATAGATATCTTCCAGTCCTCCTTCCTGCTCCCTGATGTGATGGGTTCTGACCACTGCCCTGTGGGAGCTGTCTTGAATGTGTCCTGTGTGCCAGCAAAACAGTGCCCAGCTCTGTGTACCCGCTTCCTCCCTGAGTTTGCAGGTACCCAGCTCAAGATTCTTCGCTTCCTAGTTCCTCTTGAACAAGAACCTGTACGAGTTCAGACAGTCCTGCAGCCCAGCCATCAAATCCAGGTACAGAAACACCCAAGCAAAGCTCGCATGCACTCAACCAGGCCTCGGAAAAGTCAAGGTGTCTCCCAAAGGAACCAGAAAAACCTGATGAGTTACTTCCAGCCTTCCTCTAGCCTTCCCCAGCCTTCTCCTGATGTGGGGCTACCTAGCCTGCCTCTGGTGGGCCCTCTTACAATCCCAAAGACTCCAGAAGAGTTGACAGTGGTGGAAGACAAAGTCAAGGTTTCAGAGGCCAAAAATGAGAAGGAAGTACAGACCTCCTTCTGGAAGTCTATGCTGAGTGGGCCCTCCCCTATGCCCCTTTGTGGAGGCCATAGGGAGCCATGTGTGATGCGTACTGTGAAGAAAGCAGGACCCAACTTGGGCCGCCAGTTCTACATGTGTGCTAGGCCACGAGGTCCTCCCAGTGACCCCTCTGCTCGTTGTAACTTTTTTCTCTGGAGCAGGCCCAGCTGAAACAACTGAGGCCTAGGGATGTCTGGCATGGTTACCCCATGTACAGGGTCTGATGCCAGGTCCTTGTCTCTGAAATTGCCTTCTCCCTGAGGCTTCCTTTCTTTCTCTGCTTCTTCTTCTCTTATTTCCCTCTCTCCCTTCCCTTCTAATGCCTTCTTCCTCTTCTCACATCTCTACAGGGAACTAATTTAAATCCCTTCTGCCCTTGCTGGACACTGTATTCATTCATAAATAAAGTCTTTGTTTTAGTGTACCATGTTGAGTGGATATTTTGATGTAATCTAGAAAGTTGAGTCAGAGAGGCTCTCTCAGTACTAGTAGGCTTTCTGGCCTCCATACTGCCAAAGCAACATGGTAGCCAGAGGAGCCATGCTCCTGAGAGAGGCTGGTGAGCTCTGGGGATTATCTGCAGCTCTAAGGTCGGATCAGTGAGGAAGGTGGGTGTGGTGTGGGTTGTGTATACTTAAACAATAGCTTCCCAAGTAGTGTGTTCTTCAGCTGTGACAGATTGTCATTAGAGAGAAAAAAGGGGTGTTTCAGCCCTCAGAGTTACAGGGCCTGAGATACCATAAGTCTCAGGGAAGGTGACCACCTCAACCAGTAGGATTATTAGTTCCCTGCTGGGAACCTTGTGTAAAGACATTGTGTACTATGGCCAAACCTCTTCCTTCACCTTGAGAAAGGCTTGTAAATTCTATAACATAGTATTGGAAGAAAAGAGGATAGTGGATCATGAAAGACATATGTTCCTTGTTCTGAAAGATTTCTTGGTTTGGGAAAGTCATTATTCCCAAAGAAGAACCCGTCTTTAGTTGAGACTCACTCTGCTTCTGACATCAGAGGCTACCTGGGGCTTAGCTTTCCAGGTGAACTAGTGAAGAGGGGAGCCCCGTATTTCTGTTGAAACCATTGAGAAAGCCACTTCAAGTCTGCTAAGGGGTTTGGCTCTTTGTACAGATTCCAGTACAGTTTAGGGGCATTTCTTTCCTCTTCCTAATTGTGGCTTTTCCTGGTCCAATCAACAAGTAATCTTTGCTTTCCTTGTGGAACTGGGGCTTGTCTGAGTGAGTCAGTATAGTATCGTTGCCTGTTCTTTGTTGACCAAAGGGCTATGGATGCTTCAGGTTGCTCTTTATTTTCAGAATCAAATCAGCTAGAAACACACAACAAAGCAGAGAGCAGGAAGAAGCCCAGCCCCAAATGGAGTGCAGGTGGCATGGGCATTCAAGGCAGCTGGCTTCTTAGGCATAGGTGGTAACATATTGGGGCCCCATGTTCCCAAAGTAGGATCTCTCCCACTCACTCATAAGCTCAAAGTGTACGGGACGATGACAGAAATTGCATGCAGCCGCAGACACATCCTGGAGGGGCAGCCCCACCTCAGTCCAGACTAGCAGCAACTTCTCTAAAAGGAGATAGAAGAGGGAAAGAATTAGTTATACTTGGTCTACTAAAACCCTTGTTGCTCTGAATGCACCAAGATCTTGACTCCCACAATCTTTGAGGGAACTTAGGTCCAGAAGTGGATTTGTTTGCTTCAGTGTGACGCATTAATACTATCATTTGTCTGTTGATGCTGAGAAATATGCCTATGACAGGATTTAAAACCATGCTGTACTAACCTTTACCACTCCCTTCATGTAAGTCTAGCAGTGGATCTCTACTTAGAACATCCTAACCTGACAAAGGGGACACTAAAAGTAATCCTACTGTGGTATCGGTTTTGTGAAGTAAGGTGGGGGGGTGCGTTCCTGAGTTGCATAGGGACCCCGAGGAGGGAATGTGACCCAACTGTAGGAAGTACTTAAGTTGTAGCCCTGGCGTCCATTTTAGCCCCCCCCCCCTTTTTTGCCTATCCCTTGTGGTACGGTCTGGTCTTCTCTTCTTAAACACCATCTGTGCTGATGGTTCCAACTTTCCTAGAACTCTGCATCGGTTCCCAGACTTGTATATCCAGTAGCATTTCTGCATCTCTACTTGGCTTCCTAGTAGCCATCTAACATCTAACAACATGGGCCCAACTGAACTGTTCATATCTCTGTCCTTCACAAGCCCGTTCTTCTCACTTTTTCTGCCACTTTATACCATCCGTCCACACCCATCTTGTTCCCCAAATAGAAGAGGGCTATTTCTGTCTTTGAGTATTGGCCTTAGCCTGTTCTCTGGGATGTCTGATAGTTCTTTACCCAGATAATCACAAACAGTACCATGTAGAAACCATTGAATGCCATACTAAGGAGCTTCAGCTTTGTTTTGTAATCCAGGTTTTTCCGCAAATTTGGGGCTAAACATCCTTATTGGTATAAATTGTTTAGCAGGTACCCCCAATCTTTACTTATTTGTATATTATGTATATTTGTTGTGGCCATCTTGCATGTTAAGATATTTTCTCAGCTTATGGATCATCTTCGGCACCTTACCTTAGAGTCACTGATCCAGGGGCTTAGAAAATAGAACACCTGGCAATGGAGTGGTATTGTTGGGTTTTAGAAAAATCCCAAAGAGAAACAAGGAAAGGGGGGGTATGTTGATATATTTTCAAGAAACAACACCAGAGGAGGCAAACTGGGTTTGAAAGAAGTTAAAGAGAAGATGTGCAGGATTCAGGATGAGTTGACTATGGGATTGAGTAGCTACATCTCTCCTGCAAAAGGGAGCACGTGGAGCCCTAAGCACTGAGAGCTCCAGGACTAATCCCAGAGCTAGAGAAGAGTCTTAGCCATAGAAGCCCAGTAGCTATGACCTAGTGCCTATGTGACCGTGGACCCGTAACTTTTTATACTTCAATTTGTACTTAATACACAATAAAAATTATAAAAGCATCTCTATCTTATGTATTAAGTGGGTTAATACATTTAAAACAGCGCTTGGCACATGGTTAGTAATGGATATTAGTCAGCTTTATTTGATGTTTTTAAATGAACGAATGGATTATCAGCACCTAATCATCTTCTTTAAAACATGCTGACTATGCTCTGGACAGAAGGACTTGTCAATACATGCCCTCTGCTTTCATATCTACTTAATTCTTTTATTCTAGAGTCTTGGCGTTATGTTCACATGTAGTTCAAGGTGGACCACAAAGGCTTGCTCACCTATAAATCCTTTCTTGTACTCCATAGCCACTCAGCTCATCATATTAGAATAGCTGTGTCTATCTCCTCTGCCATTGATTGTCTATGGATATTTCATCAAGGAGACTTAGAATGAGCAACTGCTAAGTGCCAGTTCTTTTTTTTTTTTTAATTTTTCGAGACAGGGTTTCTCCGTAGCTTTTGGTTCCTGTCCTGGAACTAGCTCTTGTAGACCAGGCTGGCCTCGAACTCACAGAGATCCACCTGCCTCTGCCTCCCGAGTGCTGGGATTAAAGGCGTGCGCCACCACCGCCCGGCTCTAAGTGCCAGTTCTTAGGTCAAAAAATAGACCTTAGGAGCTGGAGAGATGGCTCAGTGGTTAAGAGCATTGCCTGCTCTTCCAAAGGTCCTGAGTTCAATTCCCGGCAACCACATGGTGGCTCACAACCATCTGTAAAGAGGTCTGGTACCCTCTTCTGGCCTGCAGACATGCACACAGACAGAATATTGTATACTAAATAAATAAATATTTTAAAAAAATAGACCCTACCAACATACATACAAGTAATATTATATGGAACCAACAGGTTACATTTAGGAATATATAAGTATTTTTGAAGGGAAGTAAGTAGCAGAACTTGGGAGGGTGTGCAGGGAGAAAATAGAAGGGAGAAACGTTGTAATTAAATTACAGTCTCAAAAATACACCCAAAAGAAATACAATAAACATTGGGTGAATACACCAAATTGTCATCTTTCAGGGTAAAACTCAAACTACTCAGCTCAGCGCTACCAGTCTCTAAACCTAGACCTTGTTTATGTTGTCTTTGTAGCTCTAGATTGACCCACCACTATCCTGCTCTCCTCCCTTCCTGCAGTTCCTGTTCTTAGTGGTTGCTTTTGAGACTTGGCCTCCCTAGTCCGCCCACTGGCCTTAAACTAGCTGTGGCCTTGAACACCTGATCACTCTGCTTCTAACTCCAAAGTGCTGTGGTTTGTGCAGGCAAGCTCAGCTGTTACTGCTCTTCACATGTAGTGCCTCCGCCACTTCCTCCTTGCCTTTGTGTTCTTTCCTCCTCTGGGAATACCTCTTATCAACCCTCTTCTCTTGGTCCAAACCCACTCACCTAGTAAGGTTCAGCTTGGAAGTCCCTTCCCCCTAGGAAGGCTATCTTGAATCCTGAAGGTAGTTTAGTATCCTCCTCTGTGCTCCCACAACTTCCCTAGGTACTGTCTTTCTTAATGTTTGATCTCACCTGATAGCGTTGTTTGTATCCACTATTGTTTGTGTTTCTTCTCCCCAACCAGACTAGAACCCAGTGAGTCTATGTGCTGTTTCCCTTTCATTTGTGACCCTGGTGCCGAACCTGGTACACAATGAATGCTTCTAGAAACGTTTTCCAAATCAAGCAGAATCTAGCCTCTCAAGCTTCTTTGAATCCTGAGACTTAAGGGATAGGAAAGTATAGACACCCATGCTGAGAACTTACCCACAAAGTTTTCCATCATCTGCGGGCTGTGGTGGGGGGAGGGTGCCAAGCGCAGCAGCTCCTCGCCCCGGGGCACAGTTGGGTAGTTGATGGCCTGCACATAGATGCTGTGCTTGGAGAGCAGGAGATCACAGATCTTGCTGTTGAGTGCTGCATCGCCCACCTAGGCTCAAAATAAAGGCCTTTCAGTACCTCTCACCCTGAGCCACCACAGCACACTAGCTCTGTGAAGGAGGAGGAGGAACCCAGATCAAGGAACAACCACTGAATTTGGGGTCAAGTTGTTTTTCATAAAGGGCTGAGGCAGTGATGCCTCCGGAATCTCTCTCAAGGGGAGCCCAGAGCCAGCAATGCAATTTGAAGAAGGGATGGAGCTGGTGTCTTGTGTTGATACTATTTGTACAACAAGCACATTGGTGACATTGGAGTAGTCAGAAAGCCAGGGTACCTCTGAGCTGCTGTTACTAGGTTAATTTAAAAATTGCAGTTAAAGCCGGGTGATGGTGGTGCACGCCTTTAATCCTAGCACTCTGGAGGCAGAGGGAGGCAGATCTCTGTGAGTTTGAGACCAGCCTGGTCTACAAGAGCTAGTTCCAGGACAGGCTCCAAAGCCACAGAGAAACCCTGTCTCAAAAAACCAAAAAAAAAAAATTGCAGTTAAAGGGAGTGACTCCAGTTGGCTCTCTCTATATCTGTGTTCTTTTTCAAGTATTCACCCAGCCTCAGCTTTGAAAAAAGAATATCTTTAAGTCTCTCCTTGTTGATGTTTCCCAAATAATACAGTTTAATGGCTAAGTAGTTTTTGTTTGAATTTGGTATTACTGGTGATCTAGCAATTAAATGTATTGTGGAAGGCTGAATAGATTCTATGGAAATGTAACACTGTTTTGTACAAACTGAGGAGAGCATTTCTGGATTTTGATACGGGCTGTGGGAGGTCCTTTATGGATACTGAGAGGTTGCTCTTCTCTCCTCATCCCCAAAATTGTCTTAAGAAGTGTCCTTCTTAGACCCTGATTTAACTGACTTACATAAATAGATGTCATTTAAGAAAGGAACAGTGGTTCATTTTAGAAGTAAGAAACATTTAAACAGAGCTGGCAATCCAAAGTACCAGCTAGTTCTATGGCTGGTTTTGAGGTTTTGGTTTTTTACCTCAAACCGGAACAAATTGGTAGCCTTTACTGTGTGTTGTATGCTTCAACATTTTCTAGTCTATGTTTCCCTATCTTCAGTCTAAGTATAACCCACTAAACTGATTCCATGACCCGCTAATAGTTTTTAATAAACAACTTGAAAAACACTAAATTATAAGCTTATGATTTTGAGGATCAGAGCAATTTAGTAATAGAAAGGCAATGATTGATGAAAAAAGACAGGTTAATCTATAATAGCTAACTTTTCAAAACAGAGACCAAAGGTATACGTCTCTGGTGTATGTGGCGGGGTGGGGGGTGGGGAGGTCATAAGAAAGCAAAGTGTTGATTGAAGGGGCAAAGTGGTTTACTGGAAATAGGAAGGCTTCAGGAACAGGAGGTGGGGAAGGCAGGGGGAATGATGGAATTCTCACCCTGATGGGGATGATGTGACTGGGACAGGGGATGACAGAAAACCCCCTGTCCATTAGTAGCTGGCGCATATGCTTGACGTTGCGCTGGTGTGCCCGCCTTAGGGCTTGCCCGTCCTCTCCCTTGAGTAGACGCACAGATTCTAGAGCCCCAGCGAGCACCATGGGAGGCAGGGAAGTGGTGAAGATGAAGCCTGCAGCATAGGGGCGCACCATGTCCACCAAGTCCCGAGTGCTGGCAATATAGCCACCAACGCAGCCAAAGGCCTTGCCTGCAAACGAGCAACAGAAGTTATGCACAGACCTGATGAGCAGTCTACAGAGGGGCAGACTAATGCCCCAGGTAACACAGGCAGGTAGACCAGAAGCTGGGCCTCCAGACTCCCTTCCCAGTGCTCTGCCCATCTCTCCTGTGCATGGCAGAGTTGATAGTTCTGTGGTTCTGAGATAGGACTGCCACATACTGCCATATGCAGTGACTAGATAGGAAGGAACAGGGTGGGGACCTTTAGTTGGTTAGAGCCTGAAAAATAACTAAGATGAGACTTGGGGCTGGTGTTGGGAAGGAAAGACTTTTCTTCTTATTCTAGTTGGATCCAGCTGTCTGGTCCAGCTCAGGAGCCTTTTAGAAAATCTTTTCTAGACTTTCTCAGTGACTATGCAGTGGGATGGGGAAGAGATGACTTGGTAGGGCAAAGCTTGAGGTTATAAATTCTTTCCCAGCCACTCCTGTGGCTCTACACTGGAAGGAGAAATGGGTCTGGAGGGGGCACTTCTCTGGGTCGCATGTAAGGGAGCCCCGAAGTGTTTGCTCACTGCTGACTAGTTTTATGTCAACATGACATAAGCAAGAGTCATCTGAGAAGAGGGACCCTCAACTGGGAAAATGCCTCCATAAGACTGGGCTTGTAGGCAAGTCTGTAGGGCATTTTCTTATTTAGTGATTGATAGACAGCCCTGTCCATTGTGGATGAAACCATCCCAGGGCTGGTGGGCCTGGGTTCTATAAGAAAATAGGCTGAGCAAGCCATGAGGAGCAAACCAATAAGCAGCACCCCTCCATGGCCCCTGCATGAGCTCTTGCCTCCAGGTTTTCACCTGGTTTGAGTTCCTGCCTTGACTCCCCTCTTCCTGCCTTGACTTCTCTCAATGGGCTGTAATTCTGAATTTGTAAGCCAAATAAGCCCTTTTCTCTCCCAAGTTGCTTTTGGTCTTGCTTGTAGTCTCAGACCTTGCTACTAGACTCTCCCTGATCTAGATGACACTTCCCCCTTTTCCAGGTAGCTCCATCTGTTCATAATTACAGGGACAGATGCGTATCAGGTTTCACTGTGGGAATTGTATGATCATGAACAGTTCACAGCCAAAAGAGCAGACAGTGACCACGTTACTGTACAGGGCACATGCTAAGAACCACAAAAGGGTTTTCTCTATGACATGAATCCAGAGATTCTTACTGGGCTATACTGGGAGGCTAGGGACGGGTGAAATGTGGGAAAGGGATCTGTCTGTTCCATAGAACCCTCAGTTTTCACAGACATCAAAGAACTCTGGTCTTTAATAAAATAAGGGACAACTTCTATTTGAGAAAAATAAATCATGGTTTCTTCCAGGGCTTGACCTGCTTAGCTGGAAGTTTCTTGAGAGCAAAGTCCAAACCTTTTCATCCTTATATCCCTTGTTCCCAGTACAAGGTATATATAAAGCTATGGAAACATTTTTAGTGAGTGAATGCATAAACAAATGACTAATTTATAAGTTGAAATTTATCAAGTGGGAGAGTATGAAAGGCATGTCAAGAGATGACATCTTAGGATTTGGTTTAGTTAGAAGCTATGATGTGGAGTTTACATTTGATCCTAGGGGCAAGCGGGATCCATTAAAGAATTTTAAACAGGGAAAGGAGAAAGATAGATTTACATAAGGAAACATTGTTCTGAATGTAGGAAGAATAGACTATAGGAAAGAACAAACCAAGAAAACAATGTTGGTTAGACAAGAACGGTGGTAGTAGAGAAATGAAAAGGTGTCGAATTGTACTGGTTGAGGAGGAGTAAAGAATTGATCCCCCCAAGATGGTGACTTTATTTAGGGGTTTGGGATGACCTTAGAAGAAGTGTTCACAAAGTAGTGGTGACTTTTGAAGTGTGTAGTGAAGTAGCATACAGCAAGTCCAAACACTTCTCATGCATTGTGCCTCTTATGGGCAGGAGAGAGACCGACTGGTAGATAGTGATGCGGAGCTTGAGGCAAGAGACTTAAACATATTGAAAGAGAGTGAGAGGCTGAAGATGTGGAGGGATCGAGGGACAGATGGATGGAGGCGGCGTGGGAAAGGGGACACACGCACGTACATGTGCACATACATGGTGGAAGGAGAAGTTATTGGATAAATAGTGGGCAATGACCAGCGCACCAGTGGAAAAGACTAGTCAACAAGAAAAAGGGGTATGTCCTTTACTACTGTAGGAGGCAAAGAATGAGAGGAAAAGTGGAGGTGCATGTAAGTTGGCAGGTGCTTGTGGCTAGGAGTTGAGGATAATGCTGTCTGGTGTTTTCTACTTTCAGTGTAGCAGGAGGTAAAGATGTCTGCTGATAGGAGAGAAGAGACGGGGATCTGGCACAGTTGTCACAGACACTTGAAAAGCTCTGAGAAGAGGTTAAGGAATGTGACATTTTAGTGGCGCCTCTCTAAGAACTCATATAAGCCCTGGATTGGCATGGATGTGGAACATCGTGTCCATCTGAGATTCAGACTGATAGAAGGCATGTGAGGGGAAAGCATGGACAAGAGAGTGGAAAGGGAGAAGATGGCTTCTAGCACATAATTGAAGGACTGCCTCTAGGCAAAAAGGAAGAAATATATTTCACAATGAAGGGAAATAATGAAGAAATGTTGGTGAACAGATAGGTTTATGGTTGCATGTCAATAAGTAAGGAAAGCTATTTGGTGGTTTCTACATTATTTTTGTAAGACCTGAGTTATATATTAAGAGTGAAGGGTGGAGGTACAGATTTTGCAGAAACGTTTTTAAAGCTCTGTGGAGACAAAAGACTATGTGTATTAGAGATGGTAAATTTATGGTGTTACTGTTTTGTGAGGTCAGGCACTAGCTATTCCCTGATGCTGGCCGTCAATCTAGGTGTGGTAGGAGTGAAAGCAGAGGGATGTAATCATCCACTCCTGGATGGCAGGTGAAAGGGAAGAGCAGAAGAAGCAAGTGAGCCCAAAATAGAGGGGGCAGCAAGTGAGACCGGATGCTCTAGTGCAGGACACCAGCCTCGAACAAATCTCAGGCCTTGCACTCACCTGGCAGAAGCTTGGCCAGTGTAAAGAGAGTAGAATCATTGGCCACAAAACAGGAGGAGAAGAGCAGGGCTGAGTCCTTCCGGTGTAGCTCAGCCAGCTCCTGTTCAAGTTCTACGTGGAACTTGCTGGTACCTGAGATATTGCGAGTACCACCAGCTCCAGCTCCATGATTCTTCAGGGTCTCCCTGACCCCGAGGAAACAGAAGACAACGAAAAACAAAAACAAACCTTGTTAGGCACTGAGCGAATACGAAACCCTTCTTTAATGTGGTCAGTGTTAACTTAAGTAGTCCTGAGTGGCTCTCAACCTTCCTAATACCGAGACCCTTTAATACAGTTCCTCATGTTGTGGTGATCCCCAACCATAAAGTTATTTTTGCTGCTACATCATAACTGTAATTTTGCTACTGTTATAAATTGCAATGTGAATATCTGGTATGTAGGATGGTCATAGGCAAACCCTGTGGAAGGGTTGTTCAGGCCAAAAACGAGTCACGACCCGCAGGTTGAGAACTGCTGAAGTGGGGGAAAGAACGGGAAAGGCAGAGATGGAGGTAGAACTAGATACAGCTTGAGTGGTTTGGAAAAGCTAAAGGAAGTTCTCCACCCCTCCCCCCATTTCTCTCTCCTCCCCCCCCCCTCTCTCCCACACAGACACACCCCATTCTAGATCATAGACTCAGGGAGCCTTTTTTGGTTTCCATTATCATCCTGCACACCAGACAAACAGTAGTTTAGAGAGTGATGTGTTGACTGACTGAGTTTGTATCTGAGGCATAGATAGATGTACTGGGAAGACCTTGTACAAAGAGATGCTGCTAGAACCAAGGTGTCCACTGCTCGTGTGGCTCCAGATCTTTAGATGTGCCCGCCCCACAGCTCATAGTGCATACTCTGCTACTCACTGTATGGCCTGCAAGACACGAGGGTGCCTGCTGATGCCCAAATAGTCATTACTACACCAGACAGAAACATCCTGTGAGGCCATAGATGCCTCAGAGAAGTGTTGGGCAAAGGGGTACGCATCAGCCCAGCGATTCACAGTCTTAAACACACGGTAGGTGTGGTCCTGTTTCTTCTGCATGATCTTGTCTCTGAAAAATTGGTCATAACCAAAGACCTGGCTTCCTGCAGGAGTAGAAATAGAGAGAGGAATAATTCAACTCAACTCTCTTCCTGACTAGTCTTTATTTTACTCATGTTGATTTTGGGCTTTCTAATTCTCTTCCCATGTATTCATTTATTTGTTCAACAGATGTCTTACTGGTTCTTTAACTTTTTTCTTCTGTTGTTTAATATGATATTAATGCCTGTGTATGTGCACACATTCAGGTGTGTTCATGTCAGGGTGCATTGTGGAATTCAGAGAACAGCAGCAGGCATCAGTCTCTCTTCCCCCTTTGTTTGAGAGAGGGTCTCTTGTTCACTGTGGCATGCAGCAGACTAGCTGGCCCTTCCATTTCTGAGGATTTTCCTATCTCTCCCTTCCACCTCTCAATAGGGGCATGCTGAGATTATCTGCATTTGCTTGCCCGTGGGCTCTGGGTGCTCAAACTCAGGTTGTTGTTGTACTTGCACAGCAAGCATTTTACCCACTGAGCTACCTCCCCAGCCCTGGCTCACACTAACTCTCTATTTCACTCAGCCATCCCTTTGCTAACTCACGGATTTAGTCAGGCTTTCCACTCAGCATGGCCTCACCTTTCTTTCCAGAGTTAGTGTGGAAGATGCCTTACAGGAGTTACTGCTTCAGTCTCAGAGAAAGGAATATTGCTAGGTCCGGTTTCTACTCATGTCTCTTCTCACCTGATAGCTATGTGACTCTGAACCAGCAAAGAATCCTCTTTACTGCAAAAATTAAACACTAGAAAACTCCCACGAATCTTCCAATTGGTAAATAGGCTGCTGAACTGAATGAAAAATGAACTGGATGAAAAAATTCAAATGGACACTAAATACTTCACATCCTTAGCCACCAGGGAAATGCAGATTTAAGCTGAGTTTCAATTCCATCTCACTTCAGTCATAATGGCTATTGTCAGGAAAACAAATGGTAACAAATTTTGGCAAGTAGGCAAGCAAAGAGGAGCTCTTACACACCAAGGGTCAGAACCTAAGCTGGTTCAGCAACTATGGAAATCAGTATGAAAGTTCCTCGGAAAAATAACAGGGATTAGAGTGATGACTCTGTAGCTCATGCTGCGTCAAGTGTTCAGCAACCACATCAAGTGGCTTACAACTTCCTTTAACTTCAGCTCCAGGGGATCCGGTATATCTGGCTTCCAAGGGCATTATCACACATGTGCATGCAGAAGCAAATGCATGCATGCATGATTTTAAAACGATAAAAATAATACTTCAAAAGAATCAATTAAAAATAGGAATACTGTATGACATATCACTTCTAAGCATATACCTAAATGACTCTTAAGTCAGCATACTACAAAGATACTTGTACACCCATGTTTATAACTACACTATGCACAGTTGCTAGCAAACAGAGCCAGCCGTCAACAAATGACTGGATAATGAAGATGTGATAAATATAAAACAGTGTAATTTTGTGCAGCTGTAAAAAATGAAGTCATGTTGGAAAATGGATATAGCTGAAAATCATTATGTTAATAAAAGCCAGACAGAATGACAAATGCTCCATATGTGCTTTCATATATATGTGGGACCTGAATTTAAAATTGTGTATACGTTTGTACATGTGTATTTGTAGGTCAAAAATTAGAAAGGGAACCATAGGTGGTAGAAGAGATCTTAAGGGAAGTGGGAAGTAGAGAAGGCAATAGAGTACATGTAACAGGAAAGCAAAAAGAAAGGGCTGACTGGTAAAGAAGGGGAATCAGGTGAAGGAGGAACACATGATAATAAAATATAATAACATGTGTATGATAATGCCAAGTGAAACTCATTACTTGGTATGCCAGCCAAAACAACTCAATTTTAAAAAAATCTTTTTAAAAAAATCATTTTTTTTTGTTTTAATGTCCTCATATGTAGAATGGAGCTTAGAATTCTTCCCTTGCTTAGTTGTGAGAATCTAATGACAACACTAATATTTGGTATGTGGTAATAATACTGTCCTCAGAGGTCTATTAATAATAGTGGTTGTAATTAAAAATAGCTAGTGTTTTATTATATTATCATAGCCAGCATTAATGGATGCCTAATACATGTAGAACCTACTTCCAGGAACCATAAAGATGCTAACTTATTGATTTCTCACATCAACACTATATGGAAAGTTCTATTAGTATCTGTATTTTTGTTTGAAGGAACTAAGGCATAAAAAGATCAGCTAACTTGACCAAGGTCATGTAGCAATTAAATGCCCATGAAGTAAGTGACACATTGGTTCAAGTAATGAAAAAGTTAAAACCATGAATTTTCTTTGGGTATATTCATATGGCTATAAAACTAGCATGCAGCCTTAAGTGGAGGAATACAAAAGCATTAGCAACAACCTTAATTACAGGTTCTTGTTTAAATGAATACTTTCGTGTCTACACTATGGAACACAATTCAGCCATTAATGATCCTTATGTAGCTCTGTGTTGATGGCCATGAAGTAAGTAATAATTGATATGAGGTCGTATTCTTAAGTGAACAAAGCAGCGCAGTAAACTCTGGAGGTAATCGGGTCATAGTTCTGAAAAACCATGAGTATGATTAAGAGAGTGGATGGGAAATTCTCTCTGTCTCTGTCTCTCTATCTTATGTATGTGTAGCCATAGGAAGGTGTGTCTGGGAGAAAACACAACAAAAAGTTAATGGTAGATGATAATTTACTCTTTATTTCTCTGTATCTCTTAAAAATAATTCCTTATTTGTATACTAGAAAAATGAATCAATCCCACTATGAAAAATGGATATAAGAGGCAGAAAGGGTGAGAAACTTTGAGGGAAATATGGAAAAATAATGGAGGTAAGCTTAGTTTTTAATGAGACCTCATAACAAGCTAGGAATACTACATTGCTATAAGTGTAATTTATTTTTCCTTATAAACTATTGAGGTAAGTGTTCGAATGACGTGACTTAGTTACAAAATCCACAGATCCAGCAAGACCAGCACTAATGCATAATTTTAAAATTTTTTTGGTTTAAGAAAATATTCCCATTTTCTTTTTTATCCTGTGTCATGCACCCTTGCAGTAGCTACTTCACTCTTCCCATGCCCATTCTTTCCATCTTGACAAACTCACCAGTCATATTGTTGTGAATCAGGTGTGTAATCGCCCTTTCAATCTGCTCTGGGTCCTGGAAACTAGGGAATGGTTGGCTTGGGATGCTTGAATCCAAGGAGCTCAGCAGGTCTACAAGGGAATAGGGAATTCATTGGCGTGAAGAGAGGAAAAGAGATAGTATCTGTTGTCTTCTTTAGGTTCAGTGTAATGCATAGCTATAAAGTTTAGAAAGTAGAGATGCCTCCCGGGGAATGCTTCTGCAAAGTAAGCTTCCGCTCATCTCCTAGAATGTCTGGAAGCCTCACTTCCCATTGAGAGTTGCCCTTGCGTAAGGTAACCAGGAAATGCACCCTAGGCCCTGCACTTGAGAGATGGGTGTGTTTTAGTCTTCATTTTTGAACATCCTTAAATTTTAGTCTCTAACTTTTTTGTTCTTAGTGATAATTCAAAGTGACCTGTGAAAGATGCCAATAGGATGGCCAGGTGTGAATTGTCTTGAGTGCTCTGTCTAGGTTGTTCTTGAACTCTCTATCCTTATAAAGAATAATTTGTTGAAAACAAAACTTTATTTGAATTCATTTTAATAAAATTGATAATTCAGAATACTTTTCAGGGAAGAAAGGCCAATTAATTCACACTATGTTGTGTGAAAACTAAAGGGTGTATCTATTCTCTACCCCTTTTCCTTCATACAAACCCAGACTCTCATAATATGGTCTTGCTAAACTTGGAATCCCAGTTCTTCGAAATCCACTTAGCTGCCTGGGAGAGAGGAGGGCCCATTTCAGACTGACAGCTAAAAGTTACGGGAGTTTGTACCTGTGTATGTGTTGAGGAAATGCACTTCAGTGCATGGCCTAATCAACTGCCTCATATGACTCCCTGCAAAAGACTCAGACTGTCCATCATGGAATGTATACAGTCTTCCCTTGGATTTGCTTAGCCCAGAGTATGATAAAGTGGGATCAATCATTAGGAATAGAGGTGGAGGTCAACTCCAACCTGTCTTGAAAGTCTTGACATCCTCTTGGACTTCTGGGGCTGCCTTCTGCACAATCTTGCTCTTCCCATCTTGAAGTTCTGACATCATGAAAGGACAATGGCTCTTGGCCCAAGACGGAGAGTCTACATAAAGGTAAGAGAGTAATTCGAGGTTCATTCCTTAGCCATACATTCTACTCAGCAATGATTACTGAGACTTACTGTATTCCAGAGCTCTAGCTCAGGCTATGATACAGATGAGAAGTTAAATGAATCTGGTCTTATTGCTGACAGAGTTTCTAAGCAGGGAGAAGTAGCATACTCTGACAATACTTTGGAAACGGTGGGATGGGAGAAAGGACAGGACAAATGAAATCTAGAAGATCTAAGGGATGGGACTAAGAGGTGGTATTGGCTAGGCTAGGGGTCTAGGCAGGCTTTGCAGGAGCAAAAATGCCCAAATTCAGTGTTGAATGAGAAGGAGGAGAGGAGATAATAGTATAGGGGAAGGTCATATGTCACAAGCAAATGCAAGGAATCATAGGACAAGAAAATCAATTTGAGCAATTTTAACCTTTTAGCATGGGTGAAGTATAGTTTGTGTGCAAAGAACATGAAAATAAGACTCAATAGCAGCGGTTCTCAGCCTGTAGATCAGAACCCCTTTGGGTAATGAACGATCTTTTTACAGGAATGGCATAGCAGGTATCCTGCATATTGGAAATTTATATTACAATTCATTGGTCCTCTTGTGGAACTCCTAACAGTGGGAGCAGGATCTGTCTCTGACTCTTTTACTGGTTTGGGGGACACTTCTCCCCATACTGGGTCGCCTTGCCCAGCCTTAATACATAGGGAGGTTCTTAGTCTTACTGCAACGTGATATGCCATGTTTTTGTTGATAACCATGGAAGGCCTGCCCTTCCCTGAACAGAAACAGAGGAAGAGTGGCTTGGGGCATGAGGACAGAGAGTTGTGTGGTGGGAGTGACTGGGAGGAGAGGAAGGATGGGAAACCATGGCTCGGATGTAAAATAAATAACAAATAAATTTATTAATAAAAACAATTTATAACAGCAACAAAATTATAGTTACAAAGTAGCAATAAAAATAATTTTATAATTGGGGGTTACCACAGCATGAGGAACTATAAAAAAGGGTCACAGCATGAGGAAAATTGAGAACCCCTGCTCTAGAAAGACACTGGCAGAAGACACAGCCAGAGTCTATTGTTTTGGGTCAATTCATTCTGTCTTGAACTCTCTAAGCTATTAAGTCATGATAATCAGACCTAGAATCTTGTCTTTATGACCCAGACATTCCCTTCTGCCATAACCTCTTCTTACCTCCTCCAGCTTTGGTTGCCTTACGGTGGATTTGAGAACAAGTTGGTCCATGGGTGGCCAGGATGGGGCAGCGTCCAGTACCAAATAGGAACTGGTAAGTCTTAGCCACTTTACCTAGGAAGCCTCGGGGGCCCCTAGAGAGCACTGGACAGGACTGTAGCAACACAACTGCTGCCACCATCTTGAGCCCAGAGTCCTGTAGAAATTGTGGAAGAGAGGAGATTTTCATCATGAGGCCAAAAACCAGGTAAGTCGTGCCTGTGTTTAATTCTTTGCCTTTAGTTTCCCATTCAAAGTTTGTTGCCTTCCTCAGAGGTCCTCTATTATCCTTCTGAGAAAACAATCGTAATGTTAAATATGAGGGAGAAATGAGAGACACCAGTAGATAAAGGGACAAGGGAGAGATTTCTAAATAGAGATCAGAAAACCCGGACTCTGACTTACTCTGACACCAGCTGCTTAGTGATTGTGAGCATCACCGATGTGCCTTTGTGAATGACATCTGACAGTCAACCTTTGACCAACACTTGAGGTCACTGTCTTTCTAAGGCTATTGTCCTCATCAGGGCATCATGGTGCACACCTTTAATCCCAGCACTTGGGAGGCAGAGGCAGGTGGATCTCTGTGAGATTGAGGCCAGCCTGCTACAAAGTGAGTTCTAGTACAACCAAGGCTACACAGAGAAACCCTATCTTAAAAACAAAAAAAACAAAACAAAACAAAGACTATTATCCTCCACCAAATGAAAATTTGGCCTTTACTGCAAACAGATACTATTCACCAGAGCTCCTGGGGAGTGTCCTGCTTTGTCTTGAGAATGTTCTACCAATGACAGAGAAAGAGATTGAAGCCAGCTGTCAACTTCAGGAGATCCAGGAAACAGGAAAGGGCAGGCATGCGCCCTATAGGCTGTGTACCACTAGGTTGATATTTTGATGTGTTTGAATTTTCTCCTGACTTTTGGTTAGACATAAATAAAGGAGGCGATGAAAATAAGACCTAAGAAGGCTGAAAGACATAATCTGTGTGGATCAGAAAAGAGGACAGAGGCCAAGGTAGAGAAAGATAGGGGGAATCAATAGAAAAGACAGAACAAATGACATGTAACTGTCGGTGAGTGTTGGCTGAAATTTGGAGTAAGTTAATAATTATGATCTTAAATATAGAGAGAAGGTAAGAAGGGGACGAATCAAGACAACCTCAGAGGGATAAAGATAAAAGAAGAAAGAAAACAAGAGTGTGATGGTGGAGGAGGAAGATCAGAAACTGAGAAAGACTTCAAAGCTGGAAAGAAGGGAACAAGGTAGGTAGAGATAAAACAGCCGTGGAGAAATACAGAAGATAGGGAGAGATAAAAAGACAAGAGAAAGAGAAACAGGGAATATACCAGTAGGGACAAACAGAGATACATAAGGGAAATTGTGTAGCCTAGAGTAATATATAAAGACTGAAAATTAAGCAGTACAGCAAAGAATCCATCAAGTGCAGAGTGGGACACCAAGATGAAAGGGGAGGGTTAGACAATAAAGACTTAGGGGACCATGACCCTACTGGGGGTGGTGGAAGAGAAACTGCTTGAAAAAAATAAGTGGATTTAAAAAAAATCAAAAGATCAAGAGAGTGATAGGGGCAGAAGAGATGGCTCACTGGTTCAGAGTAAGTACTGTTCTTCCAAGTTAGATCTCCAGTACTCATGTAGTATGGCTCACAGTTGCCTGTCACTCCAGCTCCAGGAGATCTGATGTCTCTGGCTTCCATAGGCCTGGTACTCACATATACACACCTCTCCACAGAACCACACACATACACATAATTTAAAATAGTAAATCTGTATTTAAAAAGGAAACAGGTGGGTATAGGGGAGGAGGAAACATATAAAGAGGTAAGATTGAGAGAAAGACAGAGAGAACAAGAGTGAGAAACAGATTGGAAGAAATGGGCCAATTGTAGAGCCAGAATCAAAGGGTGGACAAGATAAATAATAATACAAAAGGGGAGATGTGAGAGAAAGTGGGACGACTGAGCCCCCAGCTCTGCCAAGAAAGCTACTGAGCAGTCTCTGAGCACCCTCAGTGTATAAAGCCTTATTATGGGAGGGACAAAGGAGTAGGAGGAATTACTGGGCCTATCCTGTTGGTAACTTCTTTCATCTCCCTAATGTCCCAGAGCAATCACACACCTCTTACTTTACAAAGCAACCCAGTCATGTTATTCCATCTTAGAACATCCTCCCTCCTTGTCCCAGGCTGTCCCAGCAGCCTGAGTTAGTTTGTGGGCCTGTGCATATGGGCCCTCTAACAGCAAGAAGCAGACAGCTGATGGGAAGGATTAAATGAAAACAAAACAAAAGCAACAAAAACCATGTGAACCCTTCAGCACAAAAAGTTTGATTTTCTTATTTAAATTCTGGTTTCCTCGCTTCTTTGTTCAATGTTTTAGGGCAAGGCACTTCTCCTTTCTGGTTTTGGCTTTGATGAGTCGTCAAATGTGAGGTAATTATGTCTACATCAGTCCATTGATTGGATCCAGTGCCTACCTCATATCTAGAAATAAGAGTCTCCCTTCTGACTGCCTGCCCATGAAGGTTAAAGCACTCAAGGCTGAGCCTGCAGACCAAAGATAAAGCCCCCAGAGTTTATCGCCTCAGGAGTCTGACCACTCCCTAAGATGAGCCCAGGGTGTGGGAGAGAAGAAGAACCCCTTCCTGGAATCACGTCTGAGCATCTGGCCAAGGCTGCCTCTGCCAATCTGTAGTGAGTCAAGATGCATAGCCCAGGTCCTTACAAGTTCCTATGAACTTCTCTGGCATCAACACTGACAACAAAAGCAACAATATTGAAGTATATAGTAAGAAGGAAGGCCCTTGAGACCAGAGGCAAAATATAGGCCTGCTCTGAAATGATGGGGGATGAAGACCTGTTTCCCATGTACAGAAACTGAAAAGGTCAAATATACTCATCATCTCTATGGAGCTATTCTAGTGAGGGTCCTGGGGAAAATACAGAGTACTTCTTGACATGGATTGAGTTCTTGAGTTACCATTGAGCTTCAGTTACACCTTCTCTTGTCTTTCCTGATCTTCCTGGGAATCATTATGACCCATAACTTTGTAGTGTGGTTATTTTGGGCGCTTTGTCCACTTCCGAGCACTACTTAATGAGAGAAGGGAATGGCTGAAGTTGAATGCAGGCAGCCTTTCAAGCAGTTGAGGGTATTAAGAACATAGACTCTTGGCTGGGCATTTTGACACGCAGGAAGCTGGGACAGCAGAATCCTGAAGCCCATGGCAGCCTGTGATGTATATTTCCAAGTCAGTCAAGACTCAGTAGCAGATCTTTTCTCAGTAACAAACCTAAACTCTGGAGCCAAGGAGTCGCACCCTGACTATGTCAAGCCAAGTATGAAAAGCTGGAGATGAAATTTTTTTCTCTTATTATAATTTACTGTGTGTGAACTTGGGTTCCCCCTGGCCTTCCCCACCCCTCACATACCTTCTGAACCTTCGTTTCTCTACAGACATCGTGTTAGATAGGAAATTTCATAATTTCCCTTCTGGTTCCGATATTCAAACATTAACCGAGCTCTTACTGTTGTAAATGCTCCAAGTACAGTGACTTATTCATTTCTCAGGACAATGTTGTGAACCTGAGGCCCCCAAAGATCGAATGACTCACCCCGGTCAAAGACCTGGTAAGTGAAAAAGAGCAGGGTTTCAACTCAGCCAGTCTGGCTCAAGAGACCCCTAGCTTAGACACTGTAGATCCATGATCCAAACATTACATATTTTCTTAGCTGGGAGCTTGATGGGCTTGACTCTAGACACCAAGCCACTCTGCTACAGTAATACAAGCCCCTTTACTATGCATTTATCTTTTATGGCAAATGGCTTTCTTCAAATGTTCTAAAGTAGGATTTGAGGTACTATTGAACATTTATTAATTCCACCATTAAATGATTTTCACATCCTACTGCATAGAAGAGATTGTCTAAAACAAAATCAAAGAGATCGTGGTGAATTTTCAGGCCAGGTGGCATCCTTCCTTAAAGGTTTGTCCTGCATCTCTGCACTTCTACAATTTTACGTCCGTTTGCATTCCCATAGGCCGGAGAGGCCAGCCACGACTCCATCCCCTTGGAGAAGTCAGAAGCCACCCTTGCAGAGTTTCTTTCCCCTGGCTCCCATTACTTGTGGCCTGCTGTTAAGAATCATTTAAGTCTGGAGGAGAGAGAGCCTGTTACTTCTTCCAGGAGCTGGAAACATCAGGCCTTACCTCCTCTCCTAGTACCATTTCCTACCGCTGGAAATCAGAAGAGAACAGAAACAGAAGAATTTAGATACCCAAGCCAAAACTAAGAGATTTGTGGAAACTGTGGACAGGTGCTCTTGCCACAGGATAAATGGCCTGCCTGGGGTCTCAGGGTGAATTAAGATGAGACAACACAAGTCTCTTGCCTTTCTGCACAATGACAGCATTCCTTTTCCACCCTCTTCCCTTTATTTCTGCTAATTATTCAGCCTCTTGATCCCTCCCATCTTGCCTTAGCATTCTTAACCCCCTCCACCAAACCCTCCAGTTCTCCATCCCTAGATCTGACCCCCCCCCAAGGCTCTTGCACTCTGCTCTAGGCCAAGAGGACAGAAAGGGTCAAATGGAGGGAGAGAAATTTGGAAGAAATGTTAAGATGCCTTCTAGAGAAACAGAGAAGAGACAAGAGAAACAGGAGACTAAGATACAGAGTTGAGGAAGGAGACAGGGAGGGGGAGGGGAGGGGTACAGACAAAATTACATTGAGGGAGAAGAGAGAGTATGAATGCCCGGTGAGTGAGATGAGAGATACTGAAAACTAATAAAGGAGAGAGAGGGCAGAGAGGAAAGCCCAAAACAGAAGCGACAGTTTCTGTTCAATTCCAAAGTCAGGTCTAGTCAGCCAAAGTCAACGTGCAGCGGTGTGGGTGGGAGCCTAGAAAGAGGGCTGGAAGCAGCTCTTACCTGTTGCCCTGCACAGAGGACGAACCAAAGACGGGGAGTGCTGTGGGCCAGAAGGCAGAGTTTACCCCTGTCTCTGGCTCAGCCCCGCCCACCCGCCTTCTGCCTTGGCCCTAAGGTTTCCTTGGCCTCTGCTAAAGATAAAAAACAAAGTAGCCTCCTTTCACTTACACACTCCCTCTGTTCTGTCTTTTCCCTTTCTGTTTT